CAAGAGAAATCCTGAGACCCTCTTGCTCCAACTGCCTTTGTGCCAGTGGAAACTTATCCAGCTTAATACAGAGCTATACCTATTACAGCAGCAGGTAAGGAGAGGAGTTTAAATGCTGGTCATCTGATTAACAAGGGAGCACCTCTGGGTCATCCTCTTTATAAGGAATCTAAAATAGAAATACAGGAGAGTTACAAAATTCAGGAAAGACATCTTGCTCCCCTCACAACAGATTCTTTGATTGTTAAATACACAAGAGAAAACCCCTACGGAAACTAAGCTGGGCACACAAAGCTAGTTGGAAGAAATTTTCAGAAATCATTTTTTCCCCTAAATAATTATTAGCTGAACATTTGCAACCAAACAGCAAGAAAAAAAAAATCAGGGTAATTTTCTTTCTTACTACCTGGGGCTATACAGTAATTACGCAAATGGCAGGGAATGTGTCACTTTGACTAACCATAAGTGTGTAAAATAATTTAAGTAAAATACAGTCGCCTTAGTCATCATACTAATTTGACAAGGACTTTAAAAATGTCTCTCAGCTGTCTACTTCTGGGTAAGAGACGCAAAAACCCATCTTCAAAACGATGCTTCTTTAGGAGGGGGAAAAGAATACAGCCAGCAGTTTCACCTTACCAGTAACCACAAGCCACAGAATGTTCTCAGACCTAAATTTTTTTTTTCCTTTTTAAAGATTTTATTTATTTATTCATGAGAGACACAGAGAGAGGGGCAGAGACATAGACAGAGGGAGAAGCAGGCTCCTTGCAGGGAGCCTGATGCAGGACTCAATCCCAGGACCCCAGGATCATGACCTGAACCAAAGGCAGATGCTCAACCACTAAGCCACCCAGGTGCCCCAGGCCTAAAATTTTTTAAAAGGGGCTACCGACATCAATGAGATACAGCTCTATGATATGCACTCAGTCATCCTGCTCATTATCTCATCATCACAACCTCAGACTCAATGTGTACAAAACTCTCAATAGGGAAATGCCCACCCCTGGGGTCACAGGCCCAGCCTGCGCTCTGCACCCTGGAGACCCCACCTGCTGCATCAAGTTTTCATACTGAAGAAACTCAAATGCCCTTGTATGGGAGCCTCAATCATGATGCCCAGAGGTGTCAGAGGCTTTCATTCCCTGTATACATCCTTATCTATCCCAGTCCTCCGCAATTTTAGAACATATGCGAACCTCCACACTCAGGGCTGTCCTCATGAATGGCCTGAAACATCTCAGTGGGTCTCCACACACCACCATGAAGTGCACACAAAATGCCTTGCTCTCCATGCAGCTCCCACAGACCTATGCCTGCTCCAAAGGGCCTGAGACTTGAGCAGATGTCACATCCTTGCAAGTAGGTCAGTTCAGATTGGAGCCACCAAAGCAAAGACCCAAGTCAAGGAAAAGCGTGTTCTTTACTCAACAGCCACGCCAATCAAACTGGACAGGTGTCTTAATGGTTCGTGCTAAAATATATATATTTCATGGACAGTGAGGCCATTGAAGTGACTAGAACAGCCCTGTGACTGTTGGCTTTTCTGAAGCATGATATCCAGCTCAAACACTTGCAAGTGTTAAGAGATTTCAGAATCCACAGCTGCCCTGGGGTTGCATGATGATTACCTGATCTCCCCAGATCAGAGTCTGAGTGTCAGGGTCAATAGCCTTCTGCACTCCCCTGGGAGAACCCCACATCCAGGCAAAAAGCTGGTTCCTTGCTCAGAATAACAATTAGTGTTTGTCTTATATACAAGTCTCCCTAGAGTTTCCTCTCTATGCAGGTTCTTGAGAGAAAACACACACACACACACACACACACACATACACACACATGTACATATACACTCACATACACATACACAAAGTCCTGCTTTTCAAAGTTGCTTCTCAAATCACAGACAACTTCCTGCTTCAGTTCTGCCATTGAAAAGCCTATACACTAGTGTCATTGAAGACACCGGGGAATCTGTCTTTTCAAAAAGTAAAGGGAGAAATGAAATGAAGTCTCTAAATGTACAAAAAAAAAAAAAAAGCATCTGGGAAGACAAAATAAGAAGCTAGCTGTATAGACTACTGGGATCAAATAGGAAATAACATCCCTGGTATAGAACTTTCGACCACCCCCCATCCATCAAAGCAAGCATTGCTGGCTGTGTGTCCCAAGGTGTGCCCTTCCTCAGGTATCTGAAAATGCTTCATCAGAGGGACAGGCTGACTGCCAATGCAGAGATCATATATAACACACACTTTGCACACCGATCCCGTGTGTGTGATCACCTACAGAAGCAAGCTCTCCGGTTTCTTAAAAAAGCCATGATGCATTAACAAGGAGGAATTTGCTTTTCCTGCATCCTAACAATGTTTTATTCCCAAGTTATCCATAAAGAAGCCTCATACACCTGAAAGAATAGCAAACTTTGTATTCTACCTCCAAAATAACAGGGATCCCTGGGTGGCGCAGCGGTTTGGCGCCTGCCTTTGGCCCAGGGCGCGATCCTGGAGACCCGGGATCGAATCCCACGTCGGACTCCCGGTGCATGGAGCCTGCTTCTCCCTCTGCCTGTGTCTCTGCCTCTCTCTCTCTCTGTGTGACTATCATAAATAAATAAATTTAAAAAAAAAAATTAAAAAAAAAAAATAACAGATGAACAGAAAACCCCCAAGTGGCCCAGAAGAGCAAAACCCACAGCGAGCTGATTCGGTCAAGCCTGGCAAGCAAACTATTTATTTTCATGAGGTTCAGATGACAATGGAGAGTCCAGGGCAACCGGGCAAGGCAGAGCTCGGAGCCATTTCGCCTCCACTCCTAGTAATCAAAATGAATTCAATTTCCTAGGCCTGTCCTCTCCTGGGCCCCCATCTGCTCTCTGCTGGTCACCTGTTGACTCGGGTTACCCTACCCCTCTGAACCGGGCTATCAGCCCAGGCTGAAAGTGCCAGCAGGAACCCCCCCCCCCTTCCACCTTCACCAGGTGGACAGCCTGCCACTCGCCTCTTCTGGGATGAAAGTCAACTTCCTATCTCCTGACGCCAGCCCCGCCTCTACATACCCCCCTCACCACCAGCCCTCTGCATCTTAACTTTATAATGTAACTTAGGCTACCCAGCCTCATGCCTTTCTAAAACCCTTAGATCATTGTGAGCTAAAACTAAGCCCATGCCTTTATAATTCATGGCGCAAAAAGTTCTGTTGCTGTTCGCCACACATGAATAATGCACTCCACTGAACAAAACTGGTTTCAGGCTAACAACTGAAGGCAACTGTTGATATACTAACTACCTCCTCAAACACAGGCCAGGTTAGGTAGTACATACTTTGCATATGCTCCCAATACAGACGCACAAATATTTTGTTAACATGCATTTGCATCCTGGTAATGCACATACCTATTTTAATATCGTAACAGTCAAATTCTCTCCATGAAAGGTCTGATAAACTGACCACCCCCCCTCCCAACCAAGACACAGTCATCCCTATGTCAGAACTCCCCAGGGCCACAGGTATTGCCTGTACTGTAAATACAGAGAAAAGTGCAAACGTATATCCAAACAGAAAAGAAAATACGCTTTTGGCCACAGGGTTCACCTGCAGCACACAAGTCAAGGATGCACAGAGACAGGGATTTCAAACACTTTCATCTCACAAGGAGCAAACGAAATGCATCTGATTTTCAGAAGCCGGGTAAGTTTGTCACCCCAGGAACAGAGAGCTGAGCTCAAACAACCCTCTCTCGGAACCACAAAACTGACTTTACCTCGCACTAGAGACCAAACCTGTCCGTAGTTTCCTCTGACAGCAAGCCCCCGAGTCTTTGGAGACAATTTATGAATGGTGCCCTGTCTCAGCAGTTTGGCTCCCATTAACTGTATCCCAAGGCCAGGAAGGAGGGATCCCAGGTACAGCAGGAAGAGCATGGATCTATCTGGGGATGCGGCTATCCAGTAGGCAAAATCTTGTCCAATTCTACCTTCGTCAAACTTGTTCACTAACAAAGTCACTGCCATTTGATTCCAGTTGTGGGTCAATCACCAAGTGATGGCTGAACACTATACACTGTGTGTGTGTGTGTGGTGGGGGGGAATCTCCTCCTGCGTAGGCAGGGCTGTCCTGGGGTCTGGAAGTGCACTCTCCTGGAACTCAAGTCAGGACCACCTGCGCAGGGCAGGACAAAGCGACAAAGTAGGTATTTAACAGTTGCTGAGTCACTACATGCTGTTTCCTCTGATATGTTACGCACCCCTGGGCCGTCTGAGCACCAATATGCCCTTTTGGAAGGCAAATGAAATAGATGCACACAGTGCAAAATGCTGCAACCCCCTTGTGGGCGAGAGACCACGCTGAGGCATCGAGGTCTGAGCGTGGGGCGCAGAACTACACAAACTCGCAGCTGCTCTCCAGGTACTGCATGTAACTTTATCCCAGACGCCCGAAGATGGCCATCGGGATACGGAGGGGGACTATCCCCCTGCAGCCCGGGCTCGGGTCGGGGCCACACTCTGAGCTGTTAAATCCCCCCGTAACTGGCGCACGGGGAAAGCGCTCGGAGAAAATGATGCAAAATGGATTTGTTCTCCAGGCGGCTGGAATGGAGAGTAGAGGACGAAGGATGCTCACGGCTCTTCTCCCCATGTGCAGGTCACCTCAAAACCGCGCCGCCTGCCTCCCCAAGCAGGGGGCTCCCGGAGTCAGCCTCCGGCCGCGCTCTCCCGGCGGGGGCAGGCAGGGCTTCACGCCCACCCGCCGGCCGCCTCCCGTCCCCGGGCACCCGGCCCCCGCCGGCCGCGCGGGCCGCTGCCGGCATCCGCGGTCCCGCCCGCTCCCGGCTCCCCGGCAGCCCGGGCCGGCAGCTCCCCCGGCGGCCGCCGCTGCACCACTCGCCAACCCCCGCGCCGCGCCGCGCGGGCCGCGCCGAGGTCATGCCCGGTGCCCCCGGGCCCGGGCGGCCCCCCCCGTGCCAGCCGGCCCGCCGCGGAGTCGGCACGGGGACTCACCAGGTAGGCGCCCACCGTGCCCTGCGCCAGCATCAGGGCGCACTCGGACACTAGGAAGATCTTGATGTTGGAGAAGCAGGACACCTTCTTTTTCTTCTTCTTGTTCCTCTGCGCCTCGTCCCCCTGCAGCTCGCCGCTCCGGCCGCCGCCCGACGAGCCGCCCGGCTTCTTCCCCTGCATCCTTCCCCCGCCGCCGCCGCCGCCGCCGCCGCCGCCGCCGCCGCTTTCCCGCTCGCCCCGGGAGCCGGGGCCGCTGCCGGGCGGGGGTGAGCGCGGCGAGGCTGCGTGCTGTCCCCGCCCCGGGCCCGCGGCGGCCGCCCCCGTGCTGCCGGGGCTGGAGAGGTGGAAGGCGCAGCTCCCAGCCGCCGCCGAGCCGCCGCCGAGCCGCCGCCGCCGCCGCCGCGCGCCGCCGCCGCCTTCCTCCTCCTCCTCCTCCTCCTCCTCCTCCTCCTCCTCCGCCCTCCCCGCGCCGCCTCCTCCGGCTCGGGCTGTGCCAATCACAGGGGCTCCTCGCGCCGCCCGCCGCCGCCGCCGCCGCCGCCGCCTCGCCGCCCGCGGACGCCCGTCGCTGCCATCGCGCGCTTCCCCGCGGCCGCCCGCCCCGCGTCTGCCCCGGGCCCGGGCCGCCCCCCGCCGCCGGGGCGCCCTCGGGCAGGCGCGAGGGGCGACGCGCGCGGAGGGAGGGGGGGGGGGGCGCCCCGGGCGGGAAAGGCGGTGCCCGGCCCCTAGATGGCGCTGCGGGGCGCGGGGCGGTGCTGCGCGCGGCGCCGGGGCGCGGGGGTGGGGTGCGGGGGCGCGGCGCTTAGGCTGCGCGGCGCTGGCCCCGCGGGGGGAGAGGACGCGCTCGCGGAGCCGAGGGGTGACTGCAGACCCAGCAAGGGGTGGGCGCGCGCCCCGCCCCGCCGCGCCCGCCCGCGGATCCCGGGGACCGCTGCGGCGTCCCGGGGCTTGGGGAGGTGCCAGAGGCCGGAGCGGCTGAGGCTCCCGCAGCCCGCGGGCGCTGCTCCGGCTCCCGGGGCCCTGGGCGTGCCCGAACGGCCCCCGGCCGCCCGGAGACAGGCACCGAAGCTCCGACGGGGAAGCCCGCTGCGGCTCCGTCGCCGCAGCCGGGGTCCGGGTGGCTGCAGGGTCGCCGCCACCCAGCAGGGGGCCTGCCCGGCCCTCGCGTGCCGGGAGCGCGTCCTCGGGACCCGCGCGGCCGAGGCCGAAGCCCGCGGGAAGCGCTGAGCCGCGGCGGCCGCTCTCGGTAACGGTCCCCGGGAGCTGGGGCCACGGGGCACCACCAATAGGATCTGCTCCTCGTCCCACAGCTTTCGGGAGCTCGGAAGACCTGGAAAGGACCAGACCACGACCAGGAAGCACTCAGCAACTTCTGCCTGGGCCGGGGGGGGGGGGGTGGGGGGGGGGCGGGGGGCGGTGCGCCCCCAGCCAGTTATTTAGAAAGCCTTTACCTAATAATGTGTCAAGGAAAATGTGCCATCTCCTAGACTCCTCTGTACAAATGCAGACTTAAATTTGAAACTGAATAGCAATTAACACTTCCATAATGTTTACTTCCTCCCAAAGAACTTGAATGAGAATGGATGGTGTAATGTGGGGGTGTTGTCTTGCCATAACTATTTAAATATAAACTGCTTCATCCTCTGGTTCCAGACATGATCTCACCTAGACTTGGTGTCCCTTTCACATGCTTCCCCTCTCCTTGTCCTGGCTGTCTGCTACCTGACTGGGCTCCCCCCAGCAGAGGGCTCTTAACCATTTTCGCCATTTCTGTCTCCAGGGTCTGTGCCATTCCCCGGGAGTCTGTCACCTTCCTGCGCCCCCTCCCCTCCTCCCCGCACCCTCCCCTCCCTCACAGCTGAGTTTTCTGCCGAGCTGAGGCCCTGGCCCTCCTCTGGGCCCTCTGCCGAGCCCTCTCCAACACTCTGGCATCAAGGGAGCACCTCCTGACTTTTCCCTGAGAAGACCCTGCATGGGCTAGTTGTCTTCTTGCAACGGTGACTTTGCGCTGCAAAGCTGAGATGTTTATTTGTCCGTGAAACTGTTGAAACCGTATGCTGAGTGCATTTTGGTCCTTAAGTGTTGTTTACATACTTGGTAATAAGAGCTAAGATTTCTCCTGAGCTTACTCTGGCCAGGTCCCATTCTAAATGCTTTACCTGCCCTTAAAATTCACTCCTCACAATCATCCTCTGAACTAGATACAATTATTAGCCCATTTTACAGGTAAGAAAACAGAGGCCCAGAAAGGTTAACTAACCTGACGGATATCACGTATCCAGTCAATGGCAAAGCCAGCCTTTGAAGCTAGTCCGGGTTCTTAATGACTCCCTGTCTTGGGCGCAGCAGAACTGATATGGTTTCTACTTTACAAATGGAGACTCAGAGATATATAGTGTCGCACAGCTCAAAAGGGACAGGACTTGAATCCAAGTCCAGCTCTCTTCATTGTATACCACAGGGCCTTGTGTACAGTCCAAGAAAGGCATGGGGTTTTGTTTTCTGTTTGGGTTATTTATTTTAGATAAAAAGTGTCTTCGGAGAAATCAAACACTTCTGCTGCCAGAGAGAGGATTCCGGATTAGGGTTGTAGCTTCTCCATATAATTAATGGTAAGCAGCCATGAAAATAATCCTGTGCCTGAAGCCTTAAAGCGTGATCACAGTCAGCCTGAGGGAAATCAGGTGTCAGCCTCACAACCATCAGAAAGAAGAATTTAACACGTTCAATTTCCTTCCCTCCTTGCTCATCCTTTATTTACTTGTAGATCAGGGCTCCAGGGTTGATGAGGGGGGCTTAGAAGCAGCAAGAGCTTCTGCTTGGCTTCTCTCCTACGCAGAGGAAGCAGCAGAGAAACAGTGACCATTCTCATATCTGAATAGCACGTGACTGCTGATTAAGTATGTTAATCTCACAACAGGTAGAGCTCTTATTAGTCCCATTTCACTCATGAGTAAAAGCAGCAAGTGGCTTGTAGGAGCCTACAGCTGCCAAGTAGCAGGAATAGAAACCTGCATTTTCCACCCCAAATGGGTAGGAACGCTCAGGAGGAGGAGAGAGGTCTAAAGGGGATTGAGCCCCACCAAGATCTGTTGTGTCCCCTGCCACTAGCCTCTGAAAGGCTTCACAGGCCATTGACCATCATGTGGCAAACAAGGCAAATGGAGCTCTAATCCCAATCCATGCCTCAAATGGGCAAATCTTAAACGTTGCCTTGGAGAAATGCCACAGCCACCACTTCCAGCCTGGGCCCTTTTTCATCATCTACCCCCTAGTGGTGGATGGTGAATTTAGGGACAGTAAGCAGGCCCCTTGGGATTATTTTCACCTCTCTACTACTTTTCTGGACTAGGTTCTAAATTGGACTTTCCTAAATTAGGTGAAAATATTACTAGCTAGGGCTGGAACTTCATGACTCTCTCTTTGTTGGCAACTATAGATATTCCAAACACTGAGAAGCCATGTAATCTGGAAATGTGATGTAAGGAAGCATGAAGATCAGGTGACATGGGAAATAGACTGGCTTTTGACTCTGAAAACATTAATAAGCTATACGTAAACGCTTGGTGATTCAGATTTGGAGAGCTTTTCTCCCCCACTTTGGAAAGGACCATCAATTCATTTATGTGGGACAGAAGTGGGTTAACTTCACGGCCATGGAAAAAAAAAAGTGACAATATCTTTCACTGTTACTGGGCTGTGGCAAGATTTCACAGCAAGCAGCTTCAATGTAATTCAACACAATGAGAAACTGTTGTTCAAGTAATTCACATGAACCATCCTTTGCCAGCTTCAATTTTGTTCACAGGCAAATACAAAGTCGAAAAATAAATGCAAAAGAATGATTTCTGGTTGTCACTCTGATGGAAAATAAATGCTTAGATTCTCACCCTATAGATGGATTTCTTTTTTTTTTTTTTCTGAAAATACGGCAATCATGTATTGTGTCCAACCAAGGATAGAATTGGGCCTAGGCCAACTTCTTTGGCTTGAAACTAATATTTGGGCTGAGCTGAAGCTTATTTTCTCTACCTCAGAGTTTTTCTCTCCCTACCCCCACTTTACAGTTAGCCTGATCCATATGCCTTTCTGCCACATAGCCTGTGTTTGCTACTAACTATATTCATAGTTCTAAATTTTAAATTATATCTCTTAATTTGAATATATCCTAAAGCTCAGCAGAGAAGTGAAAAGGATAAACATCAGTGTAGATGCAATTTTAAGAATGTGAATCCAAAATCCAACGGAAGGAAGAAAAAAAAAAACGTTCGGGGAAATTGGAGAACAGATAGAAAACTCAGGATTGAGAAATGTGTTTTATTTACCCAAAATGAGCCTTGAGATGAAGGAAGCAATACAGATGATAAACATTTACGAATATTAGTGTATTTGGGGAACTTGTTGTTGGCTGCCTTCGATTGGTATGTGGGTAAATAGAATGTGTTTACCCAAATAGACTGTTAGTTTCTTAAGAGCAGAGTGTTTTGCTTTAAAAATAAAGGAGCCTTTGTCCTGCTCAGTGTCTAACAGGCCTCCTGCCAAAAGGCTTAATACTTCTGATTAGGACAGGAAAACGACCCAGTAGGTATCAAGGCTTATAGAGAAGTTCCTTGCAGGTATTCTCTCCAGGGACCTGCTTCTCCATCCCTGTGGTTCCTTCTTACAAAGGGACTTGTCCTCCCAAGTGCCTCTCATTGACACAATGCCTTTTCTCTCTCAAGGGCAAGTGTCCCAGTTTTGCTCCCAGGCTCAAATGTGTGCACACACCCTTGTGTTTTAGATGGCTACAGATAGTAAATGTGAGCAAATGAAATGAGCCAGCCCTGAAAATGTTCAGAAGGCCCAACAGCATCTCTGGCAAAGGAGCTGTGGGGTTTCAAGGTTGATAACACTCCAAGAGTCTCGTGGGCCCAAGCCCAACAGAAAGTGGCCACAGCTGTCTGCCCTATAGAGGGGCAGTGGTCTCTGGCCCTGGGTATCCCAAGTGGTCATGGGGCACTGCAACCCACGGACCCTCTAGCCGATGGAACAAAGGGCATATAGGAAGAAAGACCAGGAAAGAAAACCCACACGTGGTAGGCTGCCACTAAAATTTAAATCAAGAGTAGAAGTATTAGAGGAAGCATCCACAGATGAGGGAGTGAAACACCCCTGCTCAGATTAGGTTCCTCCTCCATGCCCAGCTTCCTTCCTCCAAAGCCTG